GTTGGACACGTCAGTTTTGTATAAAAAAGTATTTTGATGCCAAAAAAATTATATTTTTTTTTAATAAAAGTGCTTACAGGCACAAAAACTTTCTTCCTTTGAGTTGTAAATGTTTTCATAGAATAAAAGAAAAATCAATAGCGTAATGTGTACTTATAATAATAGGTACTTCAACATTAAGGTGTTATTATCTACTAGTATCTTAAATACTAAATTATTCGAACTCCAGATTTTAACAACAAAAGTAAAGAGCTGATTGTGTATAATAATTTTGTAAGATCTGTAAACTAAAATTTAAAATAGTAAAAATTCTTGAAATTTTTTTATCTTAAAATCAAATACTAACAATCAAATCAAGTTTCTAAAAAATTTACAGAATAATAATTTTACTGTTTCTATTCATATTGTTTATAGGTTGCTGAGCGACTATTGAAGCAAGAAATTTTAAGTCGAGATGATATGATCGAGCTGCTTGGACCAAGACCCTTCCCAGAAAAATCTACTTATGAACAATTCGTTGAAGGTACAGGATCCTTCGAAGAAGATACGAGCTTGCCAGAAGGCTTAAAAGATTGGAATAAAACACGGGAATCTCCCACTCATCATAGTTCAAATGAGAAGCCTACATCATCTTCTTTACAAAAATCAGAAGTGGATCAAAAGCAATAATTATAATTTTACTCATATTTTCTTGTTTTGGTAGGTTTGACAGATGCACCAGTAATGCAGTGCTAATAGTTATAAGCGATAACTTTGTACCATAGTTACTATTAGAAAAAGTTTTTTTTAATGTAATAATTTTTGTTGGCCAACTGTAGATGACTAAATCTAGAGGTCTTAATGGCCATTAGAAATTCTATGAGGACACTTGACTTTTATAATGTATGTTTAATGGTTCAAATGACAGTAGATGATAAAATAAGTGTAACCAATGGTTACACTACTACTAAATTTTATTTGTTATTAGAACAACGTTTTAGCTGGTGCAGAATGAAGACTTGAAGCCCTCATTAGATTTAAATAATAAATTATTTTTAAGAGTAACATTGGTATTATTGGTATTTTTAATTATAATTGATCAATTATTCGAATCTGATGAAGGCTTTCAAGCTGTATTCTGCATGAGCCAAAACTTTGTTCTAAAAACGAATGAAAATTTCGCAGTAAAACCATTGTCGTATTCATTATTTTTTAAACGTATTTTTATGCATACAATCCTAATTATTTAAGCATATGTAGCTTATCTGAAGCAGAAAAAAAATCTCTCGTTATTTTTTTTCAAAAACTTTCCATTTTTTCGTAAAAAATTAGCAAAGTTTGAAGGAAAGCGGTTTTTAAAAATTTCAAACAGTACATAAAAATTTTAATTTTTTCAATCTATACCAGCGTTAAATTTGTATTGAACCCTGTACTTTTAATATATATATATATTAACGTTTATCCGATACTTACATATTTATTACATATTTATATCCGGTATTTTCATGTATGTGTAAATTGCCTAATGAATGTATATATTACAGAGACGTAGAAACACTGGGACTTCGATGAGAAATGAAAATATTATGTACATACTGGGTCCCAACAAATCTAACGTTCGAGTATAAAATTTAATAAGTTTTGAGTTACTAGAAAAATAGACAAGAGTTCCTTTTGGTGTTGATAATTTTTAAAACTTTAAGATATATCTTTTATATGTGATTGTTACAGCACTTATTGACAGTAAACTGTAACTCTTGAAGTCCATTGAAGCTATACGCCATGGCTTGCATGCATACGTAAAAACTCCTGACATTCAAAGCATACAATATACCTCTTGAATGATTGTTATCGTATTGTACAAGTTCAAAGTTCAACGCAAAGTGTTAGCAATGTAAAAAACTACAGTTACGATCGTTTAAAAAGTAATAAAATTTGTAAAAACTGCATTCCTTTAAACTTTGCCAACTTTTTACAAAAAAACTAAAGGTATTTTAAAAAAATTATCAGTGTCCAGAATAACTTTCAACATTGGGCACCGTATTTTTTCAATATATTCGTACAGCTTTTTTCCCGTGTATTATAATAAATGCAATAAGAATTTTAACAAGTATCAGAATACGCCTTTTCTTCTAACAAAAGAGAGGTCTTCTGGAAAATCGGTTTACATCCCAAATCGATATTTTTAATGACATCATAGTAAGTATACTTTTAAAAAATGTTATTTAATATATATATAACTAAAATATTATAATTTACCGGATATTACTGGTACCGGAAAAATCCGTGCTAGGCAGCCGTAAATCTCATGCTGCAGTGAGTGCAAATAAAATCTGGTAGGCGTCACTGGTTAAAATGGTTCTAACTCCTCTCCACGTACGCTCTCCTCACCTATTAAATGATATATATTTAACTTTAGATATAGGCCTACGTAGCTCCTATATTAAATTTTCTTCCTATTCAATGTTTCTAGCCATGTCAATAGCAGCGCGCAAGTGGCTCCTTGTGTTATTTCATCGTTACTTGGCCTTAATTGATAATATATATATTGAGGGTAAAGGGAGGTTGGTTGAGCAGAGGTGAAGGTAGTGTAGAATATCCTAACTTAACAACCACATTTTATATAAAGATATTTATTATAAATTTTTTTCAAGTATGCAGTACGTACTCTAACAAATGTTTGTGACTGCGAATACGCAGTACATAATTGTTGTTACTCTTTTTACAGCACTCAGATTGCTTGACTTGCCACGTTCATATTTTCAAGTTACTCCATGATTGCTTTAATATCTTTTAGACCTTCTAAGCAGCATAAATATCTTAATTGAGAAAATTTTATTAAACAAAGAATCCAATAGAGAGCTTATTGTTAAAAAAAAAAAAAAAAANAAACCATGTGAGATACTGTAAGGAATTTTATCCCGTGATCTTGCTAACTCTATCGGCCTACCGAGGAAAAGTTCAACGGTGAAGACGACCGAGACACATATACATTAACACAGACGTATCGACATTAAATTCACCGTGTATTGTTGCACATTTAGAGCAAGCCATCAATTGCTACCGAGTCTCAAAATAGTTTAGTCCTCTATATTTTTTATACATATCTTTACGACGCATTATTTAATGTTGGTTCTTGGTGCCGCTAACTACGAGCTAAGAGGAAAGAGAAGGAGCAGACGCTAAAAGAAGTTGGATGTCTGTGAAGTATAATTGAATGATATATGTGTGTCAGAGAGAGAACGAAAACATACAGAACCTCGCGACGCACCTCGAACGAATCGAGGGTCGGTTGGTCGCATCGATGACTTATTTTTTTAAAACCTTTTACTATTTGCCAGTTTTTAGGAGCACTGGAGGTTTCAAATGTAAAGGGAGGGACGCGAGCGCCTATGCAAGCCTACTGCATAGTGTAGACAGTATTGTATCGGGTAGCAGAGAGAAAGAGAGAGCATAAGAAGTAATCAGAGAGAAAGGATAGTGAGAGATACAGAGAAAGTGATAGGTGAGATAGTAGAGAATAGCAAAGAGAGAGAGAGATTAGTGATTCAAAGTAGGCAAAAAATAGTGTCAAGGAAGAATCGAGCGATATAATAATATAGAGTAGCCAGCTACGGATGAGAAGACTGCTGCCGCAAATAAGAGAATTACCGGAAGTCAGCTGTGACCGAGCCACCGCCGAGACTAGGATGAGTTCCCGGTAGCGCAACCTGATCGTAAGGATATCAGAAAGATGAGTGTACTGTGCATAGTACAGTTAAATCAAATACGGGGATAGAGGTATCCGATCGATCCGAGCGAACGAGTGGGTGTGTGCATGCGGGTATAAGGGAAATCTCAAAGAGGCGTAAGTAAGCGTGAGCGACGTTTTTGTGTCAATGACAAACGCGAGGATGATAGCCGGTACGAAGTGTGCAAGATAAAGTGTGTATGTGAGATAAGTTTGAGCCAAAGAGAAGTTCAACAGTGAGGACGATCGAAACACATATACATCAACACAGATGTACCGACATTGAATGCACCGTGTATCAATGCGTATATTTATATAAGAAAAAGAGGCGATTACGATTCTTAGAGTATAAATATATGAGGACTAAATGGAGGAGAGAGATCCAATATGTAGGGACGAGAAGGAGAACATATGAGTGAGTTTGTGACAAAGTGTCGGGATGACTGTTTTCCGGCTGGAACAGCCACGTCAAAATTGATCCGACATTTCTTGACCTCTTTGCAGTGTTATTTACTTATAATATCTAAAATATCGAGTGATTTGTTGTTTTTTATTTTTGCTTTTTTAATTTTTTTTTATTTTGTAAGTCGTTGTCTTATTTTTTAAATAAAGCATTAAAAATCATACTATTTTGCAATTCATTGTATAGGGGCTTATGATCGTCATAATTCAAGTAACGAAGATAAATTATCATGTTAAAGCGTACCGCTACAGTTTATAAGAAAATATGTTAAATCAAAGATATATAAAATGAAGATGGTTATTTGCTAGTGAAGCTCATTTTTGCTAACATAAGCTGCTGTGAAAACAATCGTTCCCTTTGTGAACACTTCGGAGAGTATTACCTCTCCTTACTATATGTTATACATGCTTAAGTTGAAAACTTTGTTGGCTTCTTAGATGTCACTGACTCACCTGGGTCGATCATAACACTTAGCGTTAAAAATAAAAAAGATACATAATTTTAAACTTGTAATCGAAGCGTTTGCATACTACTTTATTATTGAATTTTTAAGAATATTATATTGTAAGGTCATGTTAAGAGCGTTTCAGACCATTATTTTATTTTTCACTTTACTTGTTCTTTGAGAATATCCTGTACTTATAAGTACCGTAATAAATTTAATTTTCTTAAAGGTCATAAAACGGTGGAAGAGTTATTTTCAATTAGTATTGAGGTTATCACATGTTATAAATTTGCAGATATTGAAGGTTTGTTTCGTATTCTTAATTATTCAGCAAAGTTCGTCGTCTAAAGGTACAGATTCATCAGGTAGTATGTATATATGCACATACAACGATGCAGTTCTGGCCTTATAGCAGTAATCATACTAAAAGACACTTAACGTTGGAATCGACTTTTATCTAAGAAGACTGATATTAATTGGTGACTATGCCGAGAACCCCTTCTCTCTAATCTAAAGATTGTACCTCTTGTGTATTGCATCAGTAAAAGTTGTACCCCTTCAGAGGCATGTTTAAGGCTTGTTCCTAATCCACAAAATGGTAGCTGATGTGAGGTACTATCATCAATAACTGTAGAAACATTAATAATGTATTTTATTCTACATTTTATTGGTGGATTAGTGGCATTGTACTCCCTCATATTGCCATGTAGTTTAGCCAAGTGTGTCCTTTATTTTTTTATTCTGTCTGTTGAAACTTTGATTTCGTTTGATAGTTGTGTTCTATAAGAGATAATTTGAATAACGTCTCTTATTTGCAAGGGTTACTTGAACAGATCTTGACTTAGATAATGGTAAAAGTTTCTTTAGTCTCTGAGATTTGATATACGTAGACAGACCTATTCCATTTAACACAGTTTTTATTGCCTGGTCATTTTTATCTTGGAGATTAATGTTGGAGTTGGCTTCAGCAGCGTTAAACAGTATAACATAGGACTTATTAGTCTCTGCAATGTTAAACGTCTTAAAGAATGACTCCATACGAGTAAAATACACTTTCTATGTTGTTTACGTTCAAAAATGAACTAAAGGTTCTATGACAGATTGTTTTTTTATAAGCAATACGGATGCGCTGTTAGTCCAAAACTTTGATAAATTTTTTTTACGTTGAATAACAAACAAATAAAATAATTTTCCGGAGCTGAATTTAAACGCAGATAATAGCACCAGGCCATGTGTCGTCCGCTAAAACTTGCTTGTTGGCCTTGTTGCGCAACCGCGCTACTTGATAAAAAGTCGTGGGCCAAAATCACCATATTCGTGGGCGAGCCAATGCATCTAAAACGATTGAAAGTTTTTACACTGTGCGTTTTACAGGTATCTTAAGTGTAGTGAAAATTTGAGGTTGAGTAGTGCTGTCCGACTCTTAGCAGCTGGTGAGGGGCCATCTGTCCGTCGCAGTAGGACATCGTAGAGTGTGTATGTGTGCGCGAGAGAGAGAGTTCGCAGGATTTTACGGGTATCAGCTGGTCAGCTGGTGGCGCCAACAGCTCACTGTGGTAAGACTTCGTGCGAGAAAAAGAGACAATGCGCAGTCATGCGTACTATGCTGGCTGTTCTCTGGGTGGCGTGCGTGAAGATTAGTATGTGTGTGTAAGCGTGTGGGTGTAGGTTTACGGGTGCAAGTATATGGGTGTAGGTGTGATCGAGATTTAGATATGAATCTTGTATTTTGTGTATTTTATTGTTTAAGTCTAATGAGTGTGTCCTGATTATTTCCCACCAGAACTGTTTGCTTACCGACAAACAATCAAGGGGGCATTCTTTATCACCTAAGAATTTATAATATACAATTTTTAGTCCTATTATTTGTTTTACTTTTCTTCAAGTAATTAAATACAATGTTATAGAAAACGCTTAAACAATCGAAAATTATTTTTGAATTAAGAAAACCGTAGAGATTTTAAATTTCCTACGCACAAGGTTACACGTGCGATAAATACTTTATTCGCGATTTAAATGTCAGTCATTATTGCTTCTCCATTTTATTCAAATAATTCTGTTATTATTAATCTTGTTTCATTTTATAATCCATCTATTGTATTAAAATTTCTGATTCATACCACTGCTCCAATTTTTAAATTTAATTTATCAGTTGGAAGACCTTCACAAATGAAACTTCTGTTTCAAAATTTATAGAAATTTTATCAGATTTCTCAATATCTTTAGATGTTGCTTTATCTACACTGTAATGAGTAATAGTCTCTCCTTGATTTAAACTCAAAATTTGTATTTAAGAAATATAAACATGCATTGTGTATTTTTACAATTATATTATTTAAATAAGAACCTGATTTTTCACCAAATATTTTAAAACATGCATCATCCATTAACCATTTTCTTGGAACGACGAATAACTCTACATGTCCATTTTCAATTTTTAATCATAATTTCGACAATTTGGTTTCATTTAAACAAAGGTTATCACTTAATGTATGTATTTGAAATGATGGCCATAAATGTTAAAATTTCATTGTTTCTGTTGTCATTCTATTTCTATTACTTTTTTTTCATAAAATTTTTATGGAAAAATTCGTCAGAAACCACCCCAAATGACGATTTTTTTGTTTCTTGAACGTTTGTTTGTTTCTAGTAGGTTTTGTAAAATTTTATCTATTAATTTTGGAGCTTTTTTTAGGATCATTCAAGGTTCATACCACAGAATTAAATAAACTTTCCGATACTTTTTTTTTGTAATTCCAAGAATGCTTTTTAAACATTGTTAAGTTTTAAATACATCATGTAGTAATGTACATAACATTTGGATTATTCGTAACACAATTTAATGTACGAATGTACCTAAATTTTGTTTAAATAGGCCG